TATATATATATATATATATATATATATATATATATATATATATATGTGCAAACCTGCTTTATACCAAACTATGCTAAATAGTACTGTCAACAACCAATAGCATAAGTCCCGTCCCCTTAGTAAAGTCGATGAGATTCTTTACATGATATCCATTAAATGTCTGATTGAAAATAAAATCATAACTAGAAGGGGGAACCAGTTCCAAGTACCATGACCTCTGCTTCAATTATGCAAATGTCCTTGACAACCAAGTAAGTGTAAGACTGATGAAAACTCAAGGGAATATATCTTGACCATCCACTTTCTGAGCTTGAGGCACCAAACCAGCTTTTGGCTGCAGGAAGATGAAACAATCTCAACTTCTTTTTTTTCCTATCTCATTGACATGTTAAACCGGCAAAAAAGATCACCAGTGTTCTTACCTTTAGAATACCGGTCGTTCTGTCTGCCATAGACTTGATCCACAAGGCGCAAGGTGTAATCCGCATATACTCTGCAACCAGCAGGGAGGGTTGCCAAATCCAGAGCCAAGTACAGAGAGAGATGGGTGCCCATTCCAAGACCTTTTCCCTTAGGATAGAGCACCATCTTCCTGAAACAACCGGTACATGTAGAAGAAAAAGGAAAAGTGCTACTACTAAATACTACTGATAACAGAAGAAAAGAATGTATGAGAAGGTGATTTTTCTATGCTCGTGTTCATCTCGAAAAGAAAGGAATCACTAACAGCTAACGAATTGTTTGGGCAAGCTAGCACATGGAGTATAACGTAATGTAAGAGAAACATCGGCTTCCTAAAGCACATCCGAAACATGTTTTAATTAAGATTGCAGATTAAAATAATAAAATAACTATACCATTGATGATCTCCCGTGCTGAATATTTGTGATTCTTGGCGTTTTTCATCCAACTTGGAAAAGTTCACGATCTTCCAAGCGTACTCGGAAGCAGTAGGATCCTTTTTCATTGATAAGACCTCTCCTTTGCCTCTGCTTCTTTCTCCACAGACAAATACTTCAGCTCCAAGCACACAAGTGTCTTCCAGAACGAATCCATAACGAGCATCATTAAATGTTGAAAGCTTAATGAATTGATCAAAACCACTTTGAAGA